CTTGTATTGGACTAGTGGAAGATCCGAGTCTCACTAATACCTTAACTACTTGGTATTCACGAGGTCCACTATTGGTCAAGAAACCAGAAATATTTAACTTCACACTTTTGGCAGGTTTTAAATTTAACTGCTCTACTAACTGTTGTGTAATGAAGGTTTTCTGTGATCCTTGATCAAAAAGACCACTAGTGTTAACTCTAGATCTTCGGTTTATTAGTCTAAGTTGAGCTGTAGGCAGAGTGGTATTATTGCCTGACTCAGTAGCAAGTACATTTATTTCTTGATGCACTTTGCAATATTGCACTGTGGTAGAATTCGTGGAATTCTCCCCAGTGGTCATGGTTGGTGTAGAAGATTTTCTACATAAGGCGTAGTGATGTACACCTTGGTTGCATCTATTGCAGGAACGTAGCTGCACTACACATTTTTTGGGATCATGAGAGCCCATGCACTTGGTGCACTTGTGTATTTCTTGCAACCTTTTAATCCTAGTATTATAAGTAGGATAAACAGAGCATTGGTAGGTGGCATGTCATTGATTACAAAACAGACACCTTCTCTCTTTGTTTGACTTGGTCTCTTTAGTAGACAAGTCATTGGTTATCTCAGAAGGAGACACCGAATAAGTACCTACATTTCCACTTCTTTTCCCAGTGGATGGAGTAGTCTTGGATTTATATTTACTAGACTTATTCAAAGTCGGTTTGGATTTGACAGAAGTGTCAGTATTAGTTGGTTTAGACTCAGGTTTAATTTTATCATGAGTCTTCAACCTGTTAACCGTTATTCTCAATCCCTCGAATATTTGATCAAGAGTGAGAAACTCGGTATTATAGTGTGAGCAGAGCTCTGTTAAGACATTTCGAGGTAATTTCCTCTGCAAAAGTAACTTGATTGACCATTCTGAAGCTGGTATATCAACTTTAGTACCTAAGGCCTTTACTAGAGACTCTACTTCTAGTCTGAAGCTTTGAAGTGACTCTGGTCTACTATTTGGTGCATTCAGATCTAGCAATTGGTAATAGAGGGTAGCTATACTTGACTCTTTGTTGCAATAGTTCAACTTCAAAAGTTTTATAGCTTCCTCATAATTACTCTCATCGAGAGTTAGGTTATGTATGACCTTTTTAGCCTCTCCTTTGAGAAGACTAAGCAGGTATGAGAATTTAGAAACCTTGTCAAGAGACTGTTTCTTGTGTATATGAACTTCAAATGAAGTCCAAAAATTATCCCAATTTTCTGTATCTAATCCTGAAAATGTAGGCAAGTCTAAAGTAGGTAAACGAATCTCTGGTAGTTGGGTATTGAATTGAGACCCTGTGTTACTGGTATTGGATCCAGATTGTTTTGCTAATTTAGATAGCATGTAAAGTTTATCTTGAGTTTCATCTTCATACTGGGAGATACCGTCTACAATTTGACTTACTTCATCAGGATCAGTCTCTGTGGTATTCAGTAGAGTAAGATAAGACTGACTTGTAGACTTAACTTGATCAAATTTCAGATCAGCTACTCTTACTGATGTCTCTAAGTGATAAGAGTCAATGGGAGTATCTGTAGATAAGCCCTCAGCCTTGTTAATTAGTCTGGTCAAATGACCTTTAAGGCTAATATAGGTTCTCCTTAATTGCTCAGGAGTAGCCATGTTGGGCTTGGGTCCAAACTTCATGGGATTAGTATATGTATTACTAATGAAGCTTGGGTACTTGCTCATTAGTAGACAAGTAACATTAAATGTAGCCTAATTTATACTCTACCTCACTTGAGGTTAAATGTACCTACCTAACAACAAGTAGCTAGATATTTTGTGCATTGTCTGAACTTCGCCATTAGTTCTCGTCCGGTTAGCTCATCTATATCACCATTAGAGGTAATGGGGATCATCCAGCAATACACAAAATAGATACATACAAAATAATGAGTACAAGAGAAATCTTATGGAGACACTCCAATCAGAGTTATCTCAAAATTTGATCCCACCCTGGATAGGGTCAGCACAAATAGTATAATACATACACTACTGACTAGCTTAAGTCTAGTCGTGATAATTCCTAACTAAGAACTATAAATTTATTTAGTCTGGGCTTGTACCAAATTCAGCACAATCTCGGCCTAAATTCTACCTAATAAGATTGGTAAAGATTATTGTGGTGCAGTAAGGTGAATATAATTGTGCTGTATTTTTGGGTTTTTTGTTTTTATAAGGGTGCACTTGCACACACAAGTGAAAACAATTATGTACAGTTAAGTTTGGCTTGCCAGCCACAGCCGTTTGTGATAGTTGATGGTGTTGATCAACTTGTCAACCACATGCAACCTAGACTCACCTGACAAGTGTACACCATCTCTGGTCAGGTTTTATCTATAAGGTCTGGCTGTAAATTGGATATAAGTGGCATCCAATCTCACTCGTTTTTTCAGCCTGAAATTTATGTACTTAGCAGCTCTCTGGTAGTATTCTGGTGTTACTCCCCAACGATTATCTTGACTTGGTTGGCGAGGTTCCACTAACGTGAATACTACCGAATTACTGATGAGCTTGAAAGAAGAAATTATGGCTTTAAGGTGTTTGATCACCTCAGCTGGATGACGAGTAGGATGGATGTCATTACCACCTAAGTATATAGATGGTGAAGCCACTCTAACGCAGGTGTTAGTGTGGAATTGTTATAAAAGTTATGAGCTGTTGCTCCTGGTGACCTAAAGATTCTTACTTCTGTATGAGGTATAGGTCTAAGTGTTGCGGGTAATTGACTGTGTCCCATGAGTGCTACCTTATACATGAGGTGAAAGTAGCAATGAACTGGTGTGACTTAGACTAACTGATGTGTTACGTTGTTGGCTGACACAATTAATTAAATGGTTAGTCTAGATTACATAACACAAGGATTAGTTATTAATAATTAGTATTTATAATTATAATTTATGTTTATCCGGTTCGAAGGACCATAATGTGGGACATTTGGGGTTTGACTCTATTTATTTAAATATTAATGTAATGAAATTCTATTACGAAGGACCACCCACTTTTATAGTAAAGAGGGAAACTAATAAAATATGATCATTAGAAAATTCCTAGATGAACCAGTAACTATGGATAAATACTAGAGAATATGATCACTTATATAAATTAATGGGCTGTATAATTTAACTGAATCAAAGCCTCAAACACCAACATTGGGGGGTTATTACTGGAACTTCATATATGTCCAGGAACTAGTGTGGTTCGTGCACCAGTTCATTATGCAATAATCTAATCCTATGACCAATTATAGAATCATTATATTTATCACCAATAAGAACATAGATTATGAACATGAGAAATTAATAATTATAATAAACACATGTCAACCAAAGAAACAATGCTCTGCATGAATAATACTACAGATAATGGAATTTAAGGAATACGGAAAGGGTCTTAGCTTGAAGACGATTTCCAAGAAGTCGGTTACGACTCATCCTCGGAATCTCCTGGACTCATCATGGAACACTGGGAGATGATTAACACGGGAAATGACAGCTCGGGGAATTCTTCACACACGCTGTAAATCAAATTACATTCAGTAGCAACAGATTAAGCTGCTAGACATCTATGTTCAAGAAAATTAAATTAAATAATGGAGGTAAATAATAACCTTTGGTTTTTTATAGTCGCTCTGCATGACGACAAACTACCCAGCTATAACCCCCTCCTAAATGATGCATCAAATGGGAATAAAGGTACTTAGCTAATAGGTCACTGTGTAAGTTAAGGCTTGCCGAAGTTCGCGTCCTAGGTTCAGGCGTCGTTGCAAGGAACACGTGGTGTCGAGCCTGGCCTAGATGTTAACGCACTTATCTGGCCGGTCACGTTGTGCTACACGGAACAAATTTAACAGGTTCCTGGCTGAATGTCAAATTAAATCTCTTGACAATTCAACACGATGTGTAAAGTGACACTGACACCAGCTAAGTTGTTGTCTGCAAAGGTTCTTCACACCTCACAGTGGCGACTTTCATCTGGAGCTCTTGGTGGCGTCTACCCTGGTGGCTTGGGTAATGGCGTCTCTCTCTGAGCGCATCGCCTCGTGTAAACGCGTCTCCCCTGCCCCGCTCCGTGTCCCGCGTTTGATACACAAATTATTTACTACAAATATTATCATTTCTCGCAGTTGTGATTGAAATGCTCGGATAAGGACGGGTTTATTATTCAGAGGAGTTAAATATTATTATTTGCCCGTTTTACGATGGTAAACAAGCAATGGAGATGAATTAAAGTCTCTCCAGGGCATTCACGCGTGACGTTAAATTTATTATCAGATAACAGTTATAACTATAAACGCTCTATTTGGCATTAGTTGGGGATCAGTTTATCTGCAATTAATTATCACACAGAACACCGTTGTTTTATAGAGAATCAAATTCAATTCTCAGACACACTGGATATAGTTGTGTTTATTATAATGGAATCTGACGCAATACTGGCGTCTGGTGACGTAAGAATTCTAGCCTTATTTTACAGATGTAATTATTAGTACATGTGAACTCTACGTTTGGTTAATTTTAATTACTTCAATGATTAGTAGATTTAGTAATAATTAATAATAATACAACAGTGTTGTATTTAGAGTTGGAAATTTCCAACACCATCATCAAGACCCATCCTCAAGACCTGTCTTCAAGACCCATCATCAAGACCCATCCTCAAGACCCATCCTCAAGACCCGTCTTCAAAACCCATCATCAAGACCCATCCTCAAGACCCGTCCTCATGACCCATCCTCAAGACCCGTCTTCAAGACAAATCATCAAGACCCATCCTCAAGACACGTCTTCAAGACCCATCATCAAAACCCATCCTCAAGACCCGTCCTCAAGACCCGTCCTCAAGACCCATCCTCAAGACCCGTCTTCAAGACCCATCATCAAGACCCATCCTCAAGACCCGTCCTCAAGACCCGTCCTCAAGACGCGTCCTCAAGACCCATCCTCAAGACCCGTCCTCAAGACTCATCCTTAAGACCCATCTTCAAGACCCATCATCAAGACCCATCTTCAAGACCCATCCTCAAGACCCATCCTCACTACCCATTCTCAAGACCCATCCTCACGACCCATCCTCACAACCCATCATCAAGACCCATCTTCAAGACCCGTCCCCAAGACCCGTGCTCAAAACCCATCATCAAGACCAATCCTTAAGACCCATCCTCAAGACCTGTCCTCAAGAACCATCCTCAAGACCTATCCTCAATACCGGTCTTCAGGACCCCATCCTCTAGACCCTTCATCAAGACCCATCATCAAGACCCATCCTCAAGGCCCATCATCAAGACCCATCCTCAAGACCCATCCTCAAGATCCATCCTCAAGACCCGTCCTCAAGACCCAACATCAAGACCCATCCTCAAGACCCGTCCTCAAGACCCATCCTCAAGACCCATCCTCAATACCCATCATCAAGACCCATCCTCAAGACCCATCCTCAAGACCCATCCTCAAGATCCATCCTCAAGACCCATCCTCAAGACCCATCCTCAAGACCCATCCTCAAGACCCATCCTCAAGACCCGTTCCCAAGACCCGTCTTCAAGACCCATCATCAAGACCCATCATCAAGACCCATCCTCAAGACCCATCATTAAGACCCATCCTCAAGACCCATCCTCAAGACCCGTCTTCAAGACCCATCATCAAGACCCCATCATCAAGACCCATCCTCACGACCCATCCTCAAGACCCATCCTCAAGACCCATCATCAAGACCCGTCCTCAAGACCCGTCCTCACGACCCATCATCAAGACCCGTCCTCAAGACCCGTCCTCAAGACCCATCCTCAAGACCCATCCTCAAGACCCATCATCAAGACCCATCCTCAAGACCCGTCTTCAAGACCCATCATCAAGACCCATCATCAAGACCCATCATCAAGACCCATCCTCAAGACCCATCATCAAGACCCATCCTCAAGACCCGTCTTCAAGACCCATCATCAAGACCCATCCTCAAGACCCGTCCTCAAGACCCATCCTCAAGACCCATCCTCAAGACCCATCATCAAGACCCATCCTCAAGACCCGTCTTCAAGACCCATCATCAAGACCCATCATCAAGACCCATCATCAAGACCCATCCTCAAGACCCATCATCAAGACCCATCCTCAAGACCCGTCTTCAAGACCCATCATCAAGACCCATCCTCAAGACCCGTCCTCAAGACCCGTCCTCAAGACCCATCCTCAAGACCCGTCTTCAAGACCCATCATCAAGACTTATCCACAAGACCCGTCCTCAAGACGCGTCCTCAAGACCCGTCCTCAAGACCCGTCCTCAAGACCCATCCTTAAGACCCATCTTCAAGACCCATCATCAAGACCCATCTTCAAGACCCATCCTCAAGACCCATCCTCACAACCCATTCTCAAGACCCATCCTCACGACCCATCCTCAAGACCAATCCTTAAGACCCATCCTCAAGACCTGTCCTCAAGAACCATCCTCAAGACCTATCCTCAATACCGGTCTTCAGGACCCCATCCTCTAGACCCGTCCTCAAGACCCATCATCAAGACCCATCCTCAAGACCCATCATCAAGACCCATCCTCAAGACCCATCATCAAGACCCATCCTCAAGACCCATCCTCAAGATCCATCCTCAAGACCCGTCCTCAAGACCCATCATCAAGACCCGTCCTCAAGACCCGTCCTCAAGACCCATCCTCAAGACCCATCCTCAAGACCCATCATCAAGACCCATCCTCAAGACCCATCATCAAGACCCATCCTCAAGATCCATCCTCAAGACCCATCCTCAAGACCCATCCTCAAGACCCATCCTCAAGACCCATCCTCAAGACCCGTCCTCAAGACCCATCCTCAAGACCCGTCCTCAAGACCCGTCCTCAAGACCCATCCTCAAGACCCGTCTTCAAGACCCATCATCAAGACCCGTCCTCAAGACCCGTCCTCAAGACCCATCCTCAAGACCCATCCTCAAGACCCATCATCAAGACCCGTCCTCAAGACTTATCATCAAGACCCATCCTCAAGACCCATCATCAAGACCCATCATCAAGACCCATCATCAAGACCCATCCTCAAGACCCATCCTCAAGACCCATCCTCAAGACCCATCATTAGGACCCATCCTCAAGACCCATCCTCAAGACCCATCCTCAAGACCCATCCTCAAGACCCATCCTCAAGACCCATCATCAAGACCCATCCTCAAGATCCATCCTCAAGACCCGTCCTCAAGACCCATCATCAAGACCCGTCCTCAAGACCCGTCTTCAATACCCATCATCAAGACCCATCATCAAGACCCGTCCTCAAGACCCGTCTTCAAGTCCCATCATCAAGACCCATCATCAAGACCCACCCTCAAGACCCATCATTAAGACCCATCCTCAAGACCCATCCTCAAGACCCGTCTTCAAGACCCATCATCAAGACCCATCATCAAGACCCATCCTCAAGACCCATCCTCAAGACCCATCCTCAAGACCCATCATCAAGACCCATCCTCAAGACCCATCCTCAAGACCCATCATCAAGACCCGTCCTCAAGACCCGTCCTCAAGACCCATTGTCAAGACCCATCCTTAAGACCCATCCTCAAGACCCATCATCAAGACCCATCCTCAAGACCCATCATTAAGACCCATCCTCAAGACCCATCCTCAAGACCCATCCTCAAGACCCATCCTCAAGACCCATCCTCAAGATCCATCCTCAAGACCCATCCTCAAGACCCATCATCAAGACCCGTCCTCAAGACCCATCATCAAGACCCATCCTCAAGATCCATCCTCAAGACCCGTCCTCAAGACCCATCATCAAGACCCATCCTCAAGACCCATCCTCAAGACCCATCCTCAAGACCCATCCTCAAGACCCATCCTCAAGACCCATCATCAAGACCCATACTCAAGACCCATCCTCAAGACCCATCCTCAAGACCCGTCCTCAAGACCCGTCCTCAAGACCCATCCTCAAGACCCATCCTCAAGACCCGTCCTCAAGACCCGTCCTCAAGACCCATCCTCAAGACCCGTCCTCAAGACCCGTCCTCAAGACCCGTCCTCAAGACCCGTCCTCAAGACCCGTCCTCAAGACCCATCCTCAAGACCCATCCTCAAGACCCATCCTCAAGACCCGTCCTCAAGACCCGTCCTCAAGACCCGTCCTCAAGACCCATCCTCAAGACCCGTCCTCAAGACCCGTCCTCAAGACCCGTCCTCAAGACCCGTCCTCAAGACCCGTCCTCAAGACCCGTCCTCAAGACCCATCCTCAAGACCCGTCCTCAAGACCCGTCCTCAAGACCCGTCCTCAAGACCCGTCCTCAAGACCCGTCCTCAAGACCCGTCCTCAAGACCCGTCCTCAAGACCCGTCCTCAAGACCCGTCCTCAAGCAATATTCCAATAAACTGCATTGGGCTCTAGTGACGTATTCGTAAAAATTAACATTCTTTGTTAAAATAATTAAAATAATAATAATAATAATAATCAAATTTCTCGAGTATATTTAGAATGATTTATAACAATGTTGTGTATAGTTTGCCTTAGGATATTTTTGGTTAGGTGTTTTGTTTTTGTTATTTGTGCTGGCAGCCAGGAGGCCTGGTCGACGACCGGGCCGCGGGGACACTAAGCCCCGGAAGCACCTCAAGGTAACCTCAAGGTAAGCACCCACATGAATCGTCGAGAGAGGTGCGATGGTACAGAAAGCGGCGCACTCGCAAAAAAAAAGGTTTGAGAGTAATGAGTTGTAAGTCATAAGCTACCCCTAGGAGAGCCATGAGTCTTACCCAGCAGTAAAGCTGTCAACCATCCCCAGGAGGAAAGCTATCAACCATCCCCAGGAGGAAAGCTATCAACCATCCTCAGGAGGAAAGCTATCAACCATCCCCAGGAGGAAAGCTATCAACCATCCCCAGGAGGAAAGCTATCAACCATCCCCAGGAGGAAAGCTTTAGGAAAGTCTGGTGTGTACTGGCATACTGCCTCAACACCTGAGCACAGTCTGGTGTGTGCTGGCATGCTGCCTCAACCCCTGAGCACAGTCTGGTGTGTGCTGGCATGCTGCCTCAACACCTAAGCACAGTCTGGTGTGTGCTGGCATGCTGCCTCAACACCTGAGCACAGTCTGGTGTGTGCTGGCATGCTGCCTCAACCCCTGAGCACAGTCTGGTGTGTGCTGGCATGCTGCCTCAACACCTGAGCACAGTCAGGTGTGTGCTGGCATGCTGCCTCAACACCTGAGCACAGTCAGGTGTGTGCTGGCATGCTGCCTCAATACTTGAGCACAGTCTGGTGTGTGCTGGCATGCTTCCTCAACACCTGAGCACAGTCAGGTGTGTGCTGGCATGCTGCCTCAACACCTGAGCACAGTCAAGTGTGTGCTGGCATGCTGCCTCAACACCTGAGCACAGTCAAGTGTGTGCTGGCATGCTGCCTCAACACCTGAGCACAGTCAGGTGTGTACTGGCATGCTGCCTCAACACCTGAGCACAGTCAGGTGTGTGCTGGCATGCTGCCTCAACACCTGAGCACAGTCAGGTGTGTGCTGGCATGCTGCCTCAACACCTGAGCACAGTCAGGTGTGTGCTGGCATGCTGCCTCAACACCTGAGCACAGTCAGGTGTGTGCTGGCATGCTGCCTCAACACCTGAAGGAGACTAGGGGAGTGCCGTAATGCCACACCAGACTGTTGTTAACCCCTGTTGTTTTACCTTTATCTCGGTGAGGTAATATTACGGGACCAAGATGGACCCCGGGCGTCTTCAGGACTCTTCCCACGAGGCCAGTGTAACAAACGCCTCAGCACTTCAGGGTGGGGTAGGAGCCAAGTGTAGACCTGGACTGCTGCTCTATAGAGCTCAATATTATCAGGTGTGGATTGGACACTAATCTAATGGACTTGTGCCATTGGTTTCTAAACAAAAAAGGTTTTTCTCTCTTATCTGATGTAATCTTATTAAGTGTATCATATTATTACAGACTACTTTAATAATTAACATCTGTCGAGTCTCATATTTTCCATCTTTTTTAACAGTTGTCGAGGAAATTATACTTTCCAAGCATTTAGTAAACCTTAGGCATAGTTAAAGTGAAGACATTTGACAGAGTTTTGCGTGACTGGCGTAAATTTATAACCTATAATTGTGTGTTCCAGGTGATGGATCACCTGGAATACATAGTTGGGTAGGTGCATATCCCTGTTCTTCCTTGTTTTCAGGGGTAATTTAATATTTTCAGACGCTAATCATTATTATAATTGGGTATAATATTCCTTTATTTGACTTTGAAATTAATTTATAATTATTTGTGTGGATTTTCTTTAGAAGGAAGTCGAGCAGAAAACTTGCCCTTGAAGCCATTGAGAAGTACCGCTTTCCTTATTTAGCTTAATAAAGCAGAGCATTTCACGTTTTTCCTGAAATTATTGTTGTTAATTTGTTCATGAAGTTGAGCAACTGAGTTCTAGTTGGACTAATAGTTTCAGTTGAGGCCATTACAACTCCCAAATATTATATATTTTTATTTATTGCATTTATTTAAAACACAAAGAAAGAAATTACTTTTTTTCGGCTCATAAGCCTTCCCTATGTAGAGCGCTATGAGCCATCCATATGAAGAGAGCTATGAGCCATCCCTATGAGGAGAGCCAGAGGGCTTCCCTACGAGAAGAACTGTGCACATTCCCCAGGAGGAGAGCAATGAGCCTGCCCTAGGAGAATAGCCACCAGCCTTTCTCAGGAAGTGAGCCACCAGCCTTTCTCAGGAGGTGAGCCACCAGCCTTTCTCAGGAGGTGAGCCACCAGCCTTTCTCAGGAGGTGAGCAACCAGCCTTTCTCAGGAAGTGAACCACCAGCCTTTCTCAGGAAGTGAGCCACCAGCCTTTCTCAGGAAGTGAGCCACCAGCCTTTCTCAGGAGGTGAGCCACCAGCCTTTCTCAGGAAGTGAGCCACCAGCCTTTCTCAGGAGGTGAGCCTCCAGCCTTTCTCAGGAAGTGAGCCACCAGCCTTTCTCAGGAGGTGAGCCACCAGCCTTTCTCAGGAAGTGAGCCACCAGCCTTTCTCAGGAAGTGAGCCACCAGCCTTTCTCAGGAGGTGAGCCACCAGCCTTTCTCAGGAAGTGAGCCACCAGCCTTTCTCAGGAGGTGAGCCACCAGCCTTTCTCAGGAGGTGAGCCACCAGTATTTCTCAGGAGGTGAGCCTCAAGAATTTCTCAGAAGATGACTCACAAGCCTTTCTCAGGAGGCGAGCTACAAGCCTTCCCCTGAAGGCGAGCTACAAGCCTTCCCCTGAAGGCGAGCCACAAGCCTTCCCCTGAAGGCGAGCCACAAGCCTTCCCCTGAAGGCGAGCTACAAGCCTTTTCCTGAAGGCGAACCACAAGCCTTCCCCTGAAGGCGAACCACAAGCCTTCCACATTCGTAGAGCTACAAGTCTTTTCCAAGTTGAGAAGCTTAAGTCTTCCCCAGGAGGAGTGCCATTAAGCCTTCCCCAGGAGAAGAGCTCTTAGCCTCCTCCATCAGGTTAGTCACTGTGTACTCGTAACTCTCCCCTGAGCTCCCCCGAGGAGCTTATGTCTGCGGTTGAAGGTTAAAGATCACGGAGAGCAACTTCCTGGAGCTGTTTTCTTACCCTTCATCTTTCTTCTTAGCTATTTGTCATCGCCCAGCGTTAGCTCTAGCTCTTGAGTCCCACCTCTTGACTATCGGTAGTCTGGTTTATTGTGCTTCACGTCGTCCTTTAAGTATGTAAGTGTCCCACACATCTTTCTTCTTTAATTCTTGATATTTGTCCACTATGGTATACTGAAGGACATCCCAGGTCCATCTCACTCATCTGTGGCTCCTTTTTCTGGCTCCGACATCTGTTTCTGTCCCCACCTGCGGTAAACAGTTTCCCCTGTGTCTTTCCTCTAGTTCTCCCCCCACCTGCGGTAAACAGTTTCCCCTGTGTCTTTCCTCTAGTTCTCCCCCCACCTGCGGTAAACAGTTTCCCCTGTGTCTTTCCTCTAGTTCTCCCCCCACCTGCAGTAAACAGTCTGCTCTGTGCCTATTCTCTAGTTCTCTCTAGTTCTGCTTTCTATAAAGCATTTTACTTTGTACTCGTTATTGCTCCTCTGGTAACGTATTTCAAGCTCTCGTATTCTTACCGATATATTGCTTAAGTTATATATGTTTGGTCATTTTGGAAAGACTTCATTTTTCGTATTAACTTCGTGTCATCTTTGAGTTCATCATTTCATACATGTCGGACCCTGTATTGTACTCCCAGGACTGACGCCCTTAGAATGACGCTGATACTTTCTAGGTGACTTTCTCCTGCCTCAGTGTTATACAGGATTGTTGTTGGGCCTCTACACCAGGCACTAATTGGTCTGGTTGTTAGGATGGCTGGTCAGAAATCGGTGGCGTGAAGGTAGATCCATATTTCTGCTGACGTTTGAAGTGACTTGATGAGCTTAGGATCTGTATTTGATGCCATCTGCTGAAGGTATTAGGACGGTTGTGTGTCTGTTTCCTGGTATGGTTGGTACCTCTGTGTATATATGACCTCTCCGGCCATGAGGTATATAAGGTATATATGACCTCTCCGGTCATGAGGTATATAAGGTATATATGACCTCTCCGGTCATGAGGTATATATGACCTCTTCGGTCATGAGGTATATAAGGTATATACGACCTCTCCGGTCATGAGGTATATAAGGTATATATGACCTCTCCGATCATGAGGTATATATGACCTCTCCGGTCATGAGGTATATATGACCTCTCCGTTGGACTTGGTCTGGGCACATCTTCGCGGCTACTGGATTTACAGCTTTGTTTCAAAGATAATTTAGGCAAGTTTAGTCCGCTGTCCAGTTATGTCATTTTTTTTTATAGTTATCTGAAGGAACGTCCTAGCACATGTCTCTTCTTAGCACCTGTTTCTTCTTCCTGCACCTGTGTCTCTTCCTAGTACCTCAGTCTCTTCCCAGCACCTGTGTCTCTTCCCAGCACCTGTTGTTAGAAATTATCCAACACTTATACATCATTTGTGTATAATAATACATCCTTATTGTAGTAACCACAGTAATTACTAGTTTTAATAATTTGTAGAATTAAGCCAATTAATGTTTTCTATTGCGATGCCATTTTTGCCAAATTCTTCCTAGTATTAATGACGCAGCTCCGTGTTGTGACAGGAAGTCACAGGAAATATCTCAACATTTAGTTGAATCTGAACAGTCCAGTTAATTACTTTCCTTTACTAAGGATAATCGTTTATTTAGTTGTTTTATTTATACAGCATATTACTGCTTCCTGAACTCGTTTATTTAGGTGAATTAACAGCTACAATGGAAAATATTGCAATGTAAAATAATTTATATAATATTCCTTTCGTTTATTTTGTTCAGTCTTATTAAGCT